CATGACCATGAAACATGGGCTGAAATTACACTACAAATGATGCCAAATCATTGAAATAGGCCAAGTAATGCATACTAAATGACTCAATACACAAAGCTTACAAGCAAGATTGAACCAAAGCTATGCAAAACAAGTCATGGGTGACCAAGACAACCAAAATCAGACCTCAAGCATACCAAAACATGGATAAAATCTTCTTGAAGTCAAGCCAAAAGCATGCGTAAAAGACATTTCACAACATGACGCATGTTAGGCTATTTCATGAGATTGCATGGCAAGTGTACGGAGCATGCAAGGGCTAACCAAACCAAACCTAAACAAAGGTATGACATGATAAAATAAGCCAAAGAACATGCTGAAATGGACACAACATAGGCTAAAATGAGATGCTACTTCAAGGAGCATACAAAGCTAATGTGTGTGATTTACACTATAAGTGTATGAGGCATGCAAGGGCCAACTAAACCAAGCAAAAATAGATCTAAGGCATGTTAAAACTACACCAAAAATCTACTGAGATGGCCCAAAAACAAGCTAGAAACACATGCTCAAACATGAGACATACAAGACTAGTTTGCAAAATTTACACCACAAGTGTATAAACCATGCATGGAATGACCAAGATAGGCAAAAACAGTGGCATATGATAGAAAAATAACCACAAATACCAGCTAAGACATTGCCAACGTGAACTTAACAAAGGTGCTCACATATGAGGCAAATATGACAAGTATTGAAGACAACAAGGAGAGGGGATGGCCCTCTCCTTCTTAGGACCTCAAAACACCACCCCCACCACTGAAATCCAGAGATTTCAGTGGCGAGAAGGCCAATGCAAGGTGGTCCTGAAGCTCACAAAAAAGGCACAAGAATGAGGCCAAACAACGCCTAAGAAGGGGTAAACAACTCCAAACACAAAAGTGATCTTAAACAAACTTTAAAAGCATGCAAAAAATAAAAATTTTATCAGTTATAAGTTAAGCTCAAAACAGCATGCAAGATAGGCTAAAAGTGTGTGCAAAAATGGGGAATAAAGAGGGTAGTTCTCACCCTTGATGCACAGCTGCAAAACCAGCAGGTTCTTGGACCAAGAACCAATTCTTTAACCTCTGAAAATGACCTCCAAGAACCTTAGATGAATGGTGAAGGTGTGTGGCTATGAGGTGTGGTGTAATAGGCCAAGAACTAGACCCTTTTGAACCCAAAATATAGAGATATAAAGAGAGATATATCTTGGAGCCTTGAACAAATTTTTGGAACCTCTCTAAAGGAGAGGGAGGCCCTCTCTTATAGAGAAACAAGAGGGTTCAAGCTTCTTGAAGAAGCTAAAGAGGTTCAAGCTTCTTGGAGAAGCTAAAGAGGTTCAAGCTTCTTCAAGAAGCTAAAAAGGTTCAAACGATTCAAGCTTCCTCAATAAGCTAAAACAAAGGTTCAAAAGGTTCATGCTTCCTCAAGAAGCTTAAAACAATGGTTCAAAAGGTTCAAGCTTCCTCAAGAAGCTAAAACAAAGGGTGCAAATCCTTCATACACGTGTATAGAGGGCAGGGTCTGTGCCACTTGGCACTAAATATCTGCATAAAGCAGATGAACCGGGTTCGGCCAGCAGAAACGGTCGATCGAGCAACACATAGGGCCAGCTGACTAAATACATTGCCGACCAGCCATCACTTTTGGCCGGTAGCAATAAAACAGGGCCGGTGGCCTCAGGTCATGGCCAGTGATGTGTGGGGATAGCCAACAAGCCATTTCCTGCCCTCAGGTGCAAAGACCACAAGTCCTTTTAAACAAATTTTTGGAACCTCTCTAAAGGAGAGGGAGGCCCTCTCTTATAGAGAAACAAGAGGGTTCAAGCTTCTTGGAGAAGCTAAAAAGGTTCAAACGGTTCAAGTTTCCTCAAGAAGCTAAAACAAAGGTTCAAAAGGTTCAAGCTTCCCCAAGAAGCTTAAAACAAGGGTGCAAATCCTCCATACACGTGTATGGAGGGCAGGGTCTGTGCCACCTGGCACTAAATATCTGCATAAAGTAGATGAACTGGGTTCGGCCAGCAGAAAAGGCCGATCGACCAACACAAAGGGCCAGCCGACTAAATACATTGCCGACCAGCCATCACTTTTGGCCGGTAGCAATAAAACAGGGCCGGTGGCCTCAGGCCATGGCCAGTGATGTGTGGAGATAGCCAACAAGCCATTTCCTGCCCTCAGGTGCAAAGACCACAAGTCCTTGGTCCAACCAAGCACACAACAAATAAGTCGAGAGATCTTGAGGCAAGGCGCGCGACCGAGACCTCCGAGAACTCAAGACGAACACGAACATGGATGATCATTGAGTGCTCAAACGATAACGTCCAAGTCTTGAGGACGGTCAAAAATGGGGTGTCTACAATTATGCACTGGCTATTTTTAAAAAAACAATTCTGGGTCATTACAGATATTATATATGTCAGCACGTAGATTGGTTTCTTGAAGTTTTGTCTCTCTTTATGCCAAGTGTCCATTGGCTTCTCAAAAATATAAAAAACAAAAAGCTAGAGAAATGAATGAGCCAGGACTTGAACTCAAAATCACAAATTTGATAAGGAAGACTCTTATCACTTGAGGCTACAACCAATAAATGTTAAATATTTTATTTATTTTTATTTATTTAACCTGCACACCCATCACGTGTGCCAACCACTAATATATATATAGGTACAGATATGTTAAGTATATGTGTATGTCATTGTTCCACTTGGGTGTGACACTGTGGATCTACTGGTGATTGCAGGTTGGGTGGGTTGGCATTTCCTCCGCTATCCACCTAAAATTAGACGGAAAAAAAATTAATTTGTATTCATTCACTGATTTAGCAGATGTGGATTGAGCGAATTATGTAAGGTAGCAAATAGATATAATCGATTTAACATTTTAGACTTTATATATTTTAGTCTTTTTTTTTTTTGAATTATAATTCATAACTTTTATAATTTTTAATAACTAGTATATTTAAAATTGAAGCCGCACATGCTCCTGGTCGCTTTAGAAATCCATCCTTATCCATCATATGCTAACTCATTTTGTCTGTTAGTTAATGATTCAACGAAATGTATTTTTCTCTGTCATTTTTTAATTTTTCTCTTTTTGTTTTATGTAAGTATTCTCCATATGGAAAGAAAAACTTTTGCGTCGTCCTCACTACAGGAAATTACATTTTTGACAATTAAAAAAATTCAGTCATCAAAAGTTATAGAATTAGGGACCAAAAATTATATTAATTGGCAAAAGTACAAGATTTAGCAATTAATTTTTTTTAGTCGTAGTATATTAATTATTGGCAACTAACAAAAATTTTAGTCACTAAAAATGCCACAATTTGCGACTAAAAAATATGTTAGTCACTGTATAATTAGTTTTGGCTACTAAAATTATTTAGTTGCCAAAGGTGTAAAATTTTAGTGACATAGATTGGTGCCTATGTCTGAAGCAGAACAGGAATACAAACAGTTTCAAAAGAAATTTAGTCACCAAATAACCAACATAATATTTTCAATTAATCTTTGTCGACCAAATTTATGAATTTTCATTGACAAAAAAAATATTTAGTCATGGTCTATCAATTTTTGCCTACTAACTAATTTAGTTGCCAAATATTTAGAATAATTATTGCTATTAGTTTTTGGCGACCAAACTTTTAGTCAACATATATTTATATTCTGTGACCAAAAAAAAAAATTTAGTCATCGTATACCAATTTTTGCCTACTAAAAAATTTAGTCGCCAAATATTAATGAAAATTTTTTACTCTTGAACTTTGCCGACCAAAAATGTAGTCAACAAATACTTATTTTTAGTGTCCAAAAAACAGTTAGTTGGCAATAAAATTAAAAAATTTCAAAACACACATTTATTTTTTGGTGGGAATACTCTCATATTACCGGCCAATTTATTAATTATGATTTATTTTATTTTATTTTCATATTTTTATATCAGTCTGTACATACACTCAAACAAGTTCAATCTCTTGCTTTATCTGTCTCCTTCTCTCTCACAGACTCACCATCGCTAATTCGCCGTTCACAGTCACCGTCGGTCTTCCACCGTCGCACATCATTACATCGCCACTGTTGCTCGCATCTCCTCGCCTCGCATCGCTTTGCTTCAACATTGAGGTTTTTGTCTTCTTCTCTCTATTTCTCTTATTCTTTTTATCTTTGTCCCTCTTGCTCTCTGTTTCTCTGTTTCCCCATTTCCTTCCACATCATTTTCAATGAAACAGGGTTGAAAGCCGTCTGGAAGCTCAACAAGATTCACTTAGCCAACCCTAAACCTCTCAACTCACACACATTCACCTCATTCACCATATATATTTATCTTCTTCTCCAAAACAACTCTCATAGGTCTAGGGTTTCTTGCAGCTACACAACAATGGTAACCTCTCTCTCGCTCTCTCTCTCCCTCCCTCCCTCCATACAAATATATGTGTAAGGGCTTATAAAAGTAGATGAATGGAAACAAGGGAACCTAGAGGGAGTTTTGGTAAGAGAAAGAACAAGACCCACACAAGGGCTTATTCATCTTTGAACTATTAATTAATTTCTTTCATTTTGTTCTTAAAGTTTCTAATTTTAGATAATATGATCAATTCGAGATTGTTGATGTTGTTTTCTATATGTTGATATTGTTCCTTTTCTCTTTGTTTTCAATTTCTAAGTAGCTAATTTTGAATTAGATTTAGATTTAGATTTAGATTTCTTTCAATTCTCTTGTTTTGTTTTCATCAATAACTTCCATTCATTTCAATGGAATCTTCATCTTCGAATATAACCCTATCTCCATCTATTTGCTTCATCATCCAGGAATCATGGCTTTTGTTTTGATATAGTTTTGGCTCTTGAGGCTACAAGTTTCTAGTTATGTGGTGGAGGTGTTTGTGGCAAGGTCTCAGAAAACGATTTTGGGGTATGCTTTTGTTTTGTTTGTGCTTACCTTTGGAAGTGTTGAATACATTGTCCTTTTGAAGCTGCTATGTTAGATTGTTGTTATGTACTTCATGATGGTGTTGTTGAAGAATGGATGGATCATATTGCAGTACGGATTGGTGATGCAATTGGAAAACTTCATGATGGTGGCCTCATTCATGGTGATTTGACCACATCAAACATGTTGATCTGCAATAATACCAATCAGTTGGTGGGTCTAATTTCATAGTGTTCGATCCTACTTTGTTTTACTTGTTTGTTGTGATGACATGTTTCTGGGGATTTGGTTAAGGATTAGAAGTCACCCCATCACACTATCCCTAACCATACTTCAAAGTTATTATTAGTAGGCATTCAGCTTCCTTTATCTTCTTCCAGGTTCTTATTGACTTTTGTTTGAGCTTCACCTTAATCCTTCCAGAAGATAAAGCAGTTGATTTGTATGTACTTGAAAGAGCTTTGCTCTCTATGCATTCTTCATGTGGGAAGCTAAAGGATCCTCATTCCTCCTTGCTTGTTTATGTATGCTTTTTATCTTTCCTATTTGGAAGTTTTATGTCCCAAGTAATTCTTCCAACTGGCAAAGACTTAGGAAAGATGCAAGAGGTTCAAATTTTGCCACTGGTTGTATTCTTGTCATCTCGCTTCATGTTTCATGGTTTTACATTCTTGTGTAGATGGATCGGATACTTGCTGCCTATAGGAAATCTTCAAAACAGTGGTCATCGACACTGAACAAATTAGCTCAAGCTACGACTCTTCCCTCTCATATTTAATTCTTTTTTGTTTTTTGTGTTTTTTGTCGATTATTAATCTTGTTAACTAATGCTTGTTTTATTTTCTTGTTTCATTACTAATTGTCCATTTTACTTCTTTAATTGTCCACTCCACGAACTCGAGAATGACGTCAACTTCCTATTCACTCATAAATGGTTTTGACAAATCGTCTTCACCGTGTGACTTGCCATGCAACAAGGAACACGTCACCTTTTTGGACCCACCCCAAAAGACGTGTGGGCCCTACTATAATTTGGGCTCAAAGTTAGCCCAAAGTAAGCCTATAAAAACCATATTTTTCCAACAATCCCCCACATGAATAGAATTTGACAGAGAAAAAATGCAACAACATGATCTAATTACAGAGAATACAGAAATCGGTGATATTTTGCAAAGGATAGGTAGCTTTTGGCTTTGAACCTTCCCTTGTGAGACATAATCGGATTTACTAGCTAACCAGTGAACATGATGTCTTGAACTATTCAGCCATTTGTATAAACCAAGACAATAAAACTCACACAGTATATTACCATACACAGTTTAGTTTTCACTATTGTGTTCATTTTGGCCCTGAACAACTTGGTTTTTCATAAGTGCTTTAGAGAATTGTAGCCCTTCACAAATCTCATAGAGCCGGCCCAATTCACACTCACATAGGTGATTCTTATGAAGAGTATCCTGCCATACTCCACTAGGTATTCCTAAATATAAGAATCATTAAAAGTATTACTTAACCTAAAACGCTGCAGACATCACTATTTCATCATAGAAATGGGTAGGAGTTTGACTCCCCAGTGATCCTTATGAGTCATACACAACTCGGCTGTCCCTTTAAACCTTTGTAGACCACCCGAAATCCGCTCTGCGCCGAGGGCGCGAATTGTAGTTCTAGCTACTACAGTTCGGACTCCTGTCACGATTCGGAATCTAATCTCACAAAGTGCAATGTAAGACTGATAAATCACCAAATAGTCCAATTCTGGCAAATCGTTTTGGAAATCAATTTTGATCAAGAAGTGCCAAACATGGATTGCTTTGCCAGATTTCAGAGCCGTCACCTAAATATTTTGTTTTTGGAAAATTTAGGAAACCCTGACTCGTGCCTAAGGCCAAGTGTCCGTCATCACCAAAGTTGCCTCGGCTCGGGAACTTGGGTACAAGAGGGAAAGGTCCTTAAATGAGCACCCATGCCCGCCCGATCAAAGATCGGCCTCTACTAACATGGTATGTTGTTTTTGAAAACACATGCGTTCTTATTCTGGTTTATTAGTTAGCTTACTATGTGATGCGCACAGCATACAAGTATAGACTAAATCGCTCGATTTGGAACAAAACATCTCATGTTGGTTTTTTGAATATGGTTTGAAGTTGCTACCCTCAAGTAGGCTAAGACGTGGATTTGCCACCCTCAAGTGGGCTTAGAAAAAACATGATTTTGCCACTCTCAAGTGGGCTTAAAACGCACATTTCGATGAATTGTTCCAATTCAAGCAATGAAGCCTTCATCCACAGGCATTCATGCAGTTATAGCAGTTAAGCAAATAGCCTCATGGTAAGCATGCTATCATGGCAGTCACTTACACACATGCAAGGATGCTAAAGTGTAAACACTCACAGTGTACTCCGAGCCAAAAAAGAAGCTAGTTAGTAATCAATGCATGATCCTAGCCATATTAACAATGCCTAATGAAACACATGCAAAAATGCAGCTAAAATAGGCTCGGCTATCTAAAATGGCATACGAATGCAACACTTGATAACATGCTTTGAAACACGTATTCAAGAAAGTGTATTGAAATACAATGCAGTTTGAATGATGCACCGAGCTCAGTGCATACAAGACAGATGAATGGATGCACGCATACAAACATAAGTATGCTAATTGAAACATGGCCTAAAACTAACCATCGAAAGCTGATAAGTAAAAGGGAGAAAGACGTGGGGTTAGAAGATATGCATCACACATGCGTACATTTATTACAACAGTTGGCCCTCTCGACGGAGGGTCCGAATGAATAAGCTAAGCTACATCTAAGCCAAGCTAACTAACTGACTAATCTAATAACGCTAATTAGACTAGTTATTACACAACAAATTGAATAACTAGCTACAACTAATTATTACATCACTTTAACTAATTAACAAATTAATTAAATTACATAAACATGCTAATTAACAAGTAAGCACTAAACTACGCTAATCAGCTCTGCTTTGGAAAGTTGAACAATGCATGCACTTGGTTTCTCGCTCGAAAATCCATTACTATGCCCCGAATTGTCTCTGTTTGCATTTGATCTCTAGAAGGTGCACTGACTTCCAAATAGCTTCTACTCCAACATGGGGACTTCCTGGTGGGCTGTCGACCAGAAAATGGTGCTATAGATCTCCTGTAGACCACCTAAACATGCTGCAGACTAGAAAAAGTGGTCGGCCAACTACTTTTTCTGGTCTGCCGACCAGAAATTTCAGCCAAGCTCTAATTTGCTGCAACAGAGAACAAGAAGGGGCACAGCAGTGTATTTGCAAGGTATGTGTGTACAACCACCCTCCCTATCATTTCTCAAGCTCAAGGGAGTGCGGTACTCGACTCTTGGGCCACCAACCGAGCATCACAATGCATGATGGCCGAGAAGCCAAATTTGCACAATTCAATGTCAATGAATGCACAAATAACACATAAGGGCCTTAACCTCTATCATGCATGATTAAGAGGGTCGGTGATCGAGAAATAAGGCACGTTTCATCACTTCAAGTATGAAACATCCCTCGTTTCTCGTGTTTGGATTAACGTTCAATCCAAACACAATGCAATGCAACAACATTCCAAACAACATGCAAACAACAAGAGCATGTCAAGTTAGAGTCCTTAAGCATGAAAGTTAGTGAAGGATACAACACAAGGGCTATGTAATGCAATGCTCAATGGATCAAACCAGCCCCAAATTGACTTCATGCATGCTAAAACAGTGGCCAAAATGCTCTGAAATGATGGCATAAAAGGCAAAATAATGATGCTCATGCAATGGCTCATCAACTAGGCATGAGGGTCAACTCTCAAACACAATCAAAGAGTGACATGCATGAGGATATAGCAATGCTTTATGCTCTGAAATCAAGTGTTAAATGATGCTGTAGACTTCCCATTTTTGACCGTCCTCAAGACTTAGACGTCACCGTTTGGACACTCAGTGAACATCCACGTTTTTGTTCGTCTTGAGTTCCCGGAGATCTCGGCCACGCGCCTTGCCTCAGGATCTCTCGACTCAACTGTTTTGTGTCTGGTTTTGCATCAAACACTTGTGTTTTTGCTTTGGAGGACAGGGAATGGCTGTTGGCCATCCCCACACTCCACTGGCCATGGGTTGAGGCCACCGGCTGTGTTTTGTTGCCATCGGCCAAATGTTTGGCCGACCGGCACTCTAGATGGTCAACCGGCCATTTATTTTGGTCAAATTGCATTTTTGGCTAGCCGACCACTGTTCATCTGCTTTTGCAGATATTTTTGTGCCAGCTGTGATAGCTGGCATCCACTTTGCTCCCCTCCATACACGTGTATAGAGGGATCTCCCTCTTGACTAGCTTACTTGAGAAGCTTTGCAAGAGTGAGCTCTATAAGAAGGAGCCTCTTCTCCCTCCATTAGGGTTGACAAAAAAAGCTCCAGAGCTCTGAGTTTTAGGGTTAGGGTTTATATATACTCTATCTCTATATCTCTTCCTCCTTTTGGTGTATTAGTGTGTGTTTGTTCTTACTATTGCACGCAAACACCTACCATTACACATTTCCTTAGTTGCTGAGGTATTAGAGGGTTGATCTTGAACTTTTTAAGCTAGTTTTGATCCAAGAAGAGGTCTGGTCTTGTGATCTTGGAAGTGTTCTTCAAGGGTGAGTGTTCTTACCCTTTATTCCCCATTTTTGCATAGCTTTTTTGACTACCGTACACCTATTTTCGAGCTTATCTTATAACATATAAAAGTCTTGTTTTTGCTTGCTCTAAATAGTTTTTGAAGAGTGTTTTGTTGTTTGGGGTTATTTGACCCCTCTTAGGCCTTGTTTGGCCCTATTTTTGTGCTATTTTGGTGAGCTCCGGGACCACTCTATTTGGGCCTCCTCACCACTGAAATCTTGAGGGATTTTAGTGGTAAGGATGGTGCCTTGAGGTCCTAAGAAGGAGAGGTCACCCCCTCTCCTTGTTGTCCTTGAAAAAGGTCATTTTTGCCTCATGTGTGAGCATCCTTTTTAAGTTCATGTTGGCCATGTCTTAGGTGTTATTTGTGCTTATTTTGCCATGATATAGCACTATTTTTTACTTGGTTTAGACACACCATGCTTGCTTTGCATACTTGTCTTGCAATGCCATGAAATTGCCTTGACATGTATCTAGCATTTAGACCACTATGCTTACTTGTTTTGGCTTAGCTTTGTGAAGCTTTTATGCATGCTTTAGTGTGTTTGAGGACTATTTTTGGTTGTTTGGGTCATCCATGATTTGCTTTGTATAGCTACCATGCAATCTCCCTTGTAGGCCTTGAGTGTTGGACCCTCTAGTATGCTCTATTTGCATTATTTCAGTGGTTTGGAACCACTTGCCATGTCATTTCAGTCCTTATGCTTGTATGCTTGCATTTGATGCTCCTTTAATGCTTTAAGAGGTTGTTGTCTTATGTCTCTTGTTTAGGCCCTTGTGCATGCTTGCATGTTTAAGCCATTTAGATGCCATCTAGATGTGTTATTGGCTTTGTCTTAATATGCTAATTTGGTTGCTTAATTCATGCCATGTTCGATTTTGCTAAGTGTAGTTCAATACACCTTTGGCTTGCCTTGAATTTTGGCTTTGCTTGCATGCCTTGTTTGTCTTGTCTAGTTGGTTCGGCACCTTTCATGACTTGATTTTCAGAGCTTATAATGCATGCCATTTGTCCATGTTTTCATCCTCTTAAGTGTGCTTGAGAGTTGCTCTTCAATGCCTAAGTGTTGGTCCTTGTGTGCATGCATGCTTGC